GATTACAGCATGAAACGATAGGACTGGCAAACAGACAATAGAGTAGAACAAGGTTCTCTGCCCAGTGGGACTGAGCTGCCCTAATGAGCTACCTCATTAGTCATGAAGATGAATCTCACACCACTGGTGAGAACCGGTGTGCAGAAAGTTCCCCCACTCGGATGAGGAAGGAGGGAATCTGAGAAAGGAGATCAGACTGTAGTAGAGCAGGAAGCTAGAATTTCCCTCTCTTTAATTATCACTTGTTTCAGTACTTCTCTGTGAGCCAGTAATCTTTGCAAGGAGATCTTTCTGCTTCATTTCCTCCTCTTTGCCAGAGCAGGTGTCAAACATGGCATAGAGTTAGGAATCTGCTGCCCAGTGTATGGGAGACAACGTCAGATTTTCAATGGGTCTGGCACGGGTCAGTGGCACAGTGAAGGCACAGAATGTACCTCTTCTAGTGAGATCAGGGTGTGGGATGGGACATGACACCACAGATAGGAAAGAAAAAACAAACAAACAAACAGGAAGAAATAATGCTTGTAATAAAAGAACACATGGAGAAAACAGTTACCTGGTGATCTAGGAGAAAGGCAGTGAGTTTTACAAGTTTTCTCTTCAGTCTTAGATCAAAGTCCCTTTAAATAGCAGAATTTAATACATGATGCTAAAGGAAAAAAAACAGTAACTCAGTTATTTGCTACGCTGAGCAGCAGCAATAATTTTGCAACTCACACCCAGAAGCTGTGTTCAGAAAAGCTTCTATTTGTGCCCATCTGTGTCCTCCATAGCACTAGGTAAGTCCTGAGAGCACTGGAGACAGACAGAAGTTGGAAAGCTTTTCAATCAGTGTGTCATGTTACAGAAATGGGAGAACATGCTCGTTTGACACTTACTTTACTTTACTGGTGAGGGGACACCAGGAACCTGCCCAGGAACTGGGCAGAGGTAACACCAACTCCTCAAGAAAGCTCCACAGGAGCACAGCAGAGCAAGCTGACTTTCTTAACAGAAAGGACTTCCTGCTTCCTGCCCAGCACCAGGTGCCTCCCTGCAGTCACTCTGGAGGGCTTCTCCACATTGTGGATAAGCACCAGCCACGTGTGGCAACATACAGGTGCACAGACCACAACCTCTGTTTTTACTGCTGTGCTACACATAAATGCCCCAGTACAGCTCTCTTTAGGTGGACTTACTATTTTTTTCTTAATCACTGCCTTTAGCTAATGACCATCTTTATTCCCTTTGAGCTAATACTACAATGTGCATCTCAGATAATGTATCTGCACATTTCCCATGCAAGTGTCCCTTTTAAAACAATTTATTCATAGGAGGAAACGCAGTCAGAATATACAGGTCTGGTGAAGCAACAACATCTTTTTAGAAAACAAGAGAATTGTACAATTGAGTGGCTGTTCTTGTTGGTATTTATTTTCTTTACTGTGCAAGAGCAAGACCACAGACCTACAGCACACATGGCTTTGTGTGCTTTGTGTTTTCTGGTTTACATTTATTTTCTTTTGTTGTTTCTCAGCCATACAATTTAAACCTTTCTTCTGCTGTATTTCTAACTACAGCACATTCTAATATTTACAAATGGAGAGTGACTTGGCACAGTTTTGGCTGTAGCCTCTGTGCCATCAGGCAGCATTCTCCAGCTGAGCCTATCTGCTTTGAGAGCTAGGAAATCTGTACTGCTTTTAAAACCTAACCACCACTGAGAATAGCTATGCAAAGCCATGGGGCTACAGACATAACTGGAGATCTGGACCACAGCGCTGGAGCTGGGTGAGAAATCCTTTCACAACCAACTGGGCATCCTGTAGTAAGGGAAGAAAAAGGGCTCTGTTCAGAAACAAAGCAGCCAGCAAGCAAGCCACTGTGATGGTAGCAGCACCCACAGGCCCAAGTCTGATAGTGACAAGTGGAAGTTGTTAGAATTCAGCTCTTGGGCCATAGAAATAATCATGGACTTTGGCATCTTTCATGTTAGAAACTACAGATGACCACTCACCACCAGCCTATGTCTAAGATATTTCAGCTCCTCTGTATGCAAAGAGAGAGTTATGAAGATCTCAGAATAAGATTCAGACCATCCTCTCTGATCAGTGAGAAGCAGAGATCAATTAAATGCTGAGTAGAAAAATGGTTGTCAACCCCCAGCTCACTCAAGATGCTCCTAAATCAGGGATCTATTGGAGGGAAATTATAAATACATGTGCTTGCATTACAACCATGTAGTAATGCTCACCGCAGCAGGCATCGCATGGCTAGAAGCTTCTAGCAAAGCTCTGTGGCCATGATAACCAGCTCAGAAAGTGCCGTGGAGGTAAAACAGGCAGAACCCAGCCCTGGCTCTTGCTCTGCTCCTCCTCACTTATCACAGACTTCCACACTCCTCTCTGCATTGGAGCTCTGCAACTGAACCTTCTGGTTTGTGGGAGCACCACGATGACACTGAGAAAACTGCTCTCCAGCATGAGCTTTGACCTGTCTGGGCAGTGAGTGTGAGACACATGGTCTGGACAAGTCTCTGGCACATGAGCTGTCTTTGTGAAGTTATTTGCTGATTCAGAGGTGTGAAAACTCTAAAAAACGCAGTGGAAGCAATGGCACTGCTTGTGGTACTGAAACAGCATGGGCTCCTCCCGGGCCGTTACGACTCCATAAATATTGACTTTGGCAAAAGCTTCTGACAAAACCATGGGTTTTCTTTTTTTCTGTTTCCTCCCGTGTGGGTTCCCTGAGCTAATTTGCTTAAGGCAACATACATGATACAAGAATAAGCCCTTTGAATAGTGATGCAAGTGCTTGGTCATGAAATGAAAAAGGCCTGTATTTGGACTGATAGTGGGGAGTTCATGCTGCTTGCTTGATTTGCTCTGGATTCTTTGTCACCTCAGTGCTGTTCTTGCCAATACATGTCAGAGGATTATTGATTTTGAGCCAAAATACTGTTTTAGAGTTTTCATTTGTTACACTTATCAATTTGTGGGTTTTTGCCCTCTCCATATAGGCAGTGCACTTCTACCCATAAGTCACCTTCAATACATCTTCTGGGCCTGCGTCTTTTCTCATTTGCAGCAGCATGAAATCTACAGCAATATAATTTATTCAACTAAATTATTCCTATGCAGTTGATTAACAGTGGTGTACTCTAGAAAAGTACTACTTTCCTCTCTATGACTTGAATATAATTGTCTCAGAGTGCTAAGCACACAAGTTCACAGCCATGACGACTATCACCCAATCAACGGCAATACCCAATTCACCCAGCGTATGCACAGGAAAGCTGTGATCCAGTGCAAAAGAAATAGGAGGCTGCAGGTGAAGACAAGTGTGCTGAAGAACTGACTGTTTCCCTGCCTTGGAAGGAAAGTCAGATGCTTTTTCACCTGGCAAAACACTTCAGAATACACACAGTGTTAAACGTATTTATGCCTTTTGCTGAATTAGGCCCAAAATTCTTTTCTCTTATTCCCAACAGAACAGGGTTTAACCCAGAGGAGATGAAGGCAGACAACAACTTCATCTGAGAAGTCAGGAGATGAAATGTGAAATAAGGCACGTAGCTATGCTCTCCCTTGGCAAGGGTGTAAGCAGCTTGGTATACTCCAGCGGTATTTCCAGGAATGCAGGAATCAAATATTTGTTACTCAATTTGTACTCATAATTTCTTGCCCCTGCATCTCAGTGCACACCACTGAACCTGTACCAGACACACACATGCAGTCCAACCAAACTTTCATTTCCATTTTGAAACAGAGGCTGTTTCCAGACAGTTTTTATTGCCAACATTACCCACTTTTCTGATTTACTGATTCTTGGTAGAACTTAAAATTATCTGAAAACAACTGCCACTAAGTAAAGATTTAGTACCCATAACCAAACACACACTGAATGTCTGACCTGGAGACCAATAGCCAGAGATGCAGGCTGTATGATAAGGCTCTGATGAGATTCTCAAATTCAAGTCACTGGTAAGAGTGCTCCCACCACCATTTTTTGTCACACCATCTGCTGACAACTTGACGTTAAATAGTTTAACATTTATACCAGCAATTCAATCAGGATATTAATTTGAAGCAGAAGAGAATTGTTTACAAAAGATAAATAAAAGGCTTATGGGTGATGTAAGTGCTGAACTATGGGCTTGCTTCCCTATGCAGTGGACATGCCTAGATGTTTTTCCTCTGATTCATGAAAACAGTTGGATCGTAAGCAACCTGCGTACTGATCTGCAGGCAAATCTTAAAACATTGGTCGGTCCCCAAAACACTTTCAGCACACAAGGAACAGCATGAAACAAAACAGTGTTGTTGCCCCCTCCCCTGTACCTCTTAAGCATTAATAGGTCTGCATCATCTTTCACTCTCACTGGAGGGTGTGAACCCTGGTACAGTCATGCTTTCCATTCTATGCTGAGAAGAATAAAAGTACATTTGAACACTGTGTACTGTCTGAATTATTAGGTTATTAAAGAGAGAAAGAGACACGGCAGTGGAAAAAGGATGCGTGTTCAACTTCACATTCTAAAAAGAAAGGTTTTTAAGGATGAGGCATATGTCTATAGCAGCAGTTCAGGAAGGATACACACAAGCCATCTTTTTACATAAATGGTCACGGCCAGGACTAACCAGATGCTTTGTAACACACTTCTATTCTGAAAAGTTGTATTTACAGCCAAAAACCTTTGAGCTTAATGTGAACAAGATCTTACACTATCCTTTTTAGAAAAAGGGAGTAGTTTTGGGCCCAGATATCAAGACATTCCACATAACTCATGAACACTATTCCCTCACCCACCCCTGGATAAAGATTCTCAAACCAAAGATTGCTACATTTGTTCTTGGAAATTCTACCAGCACAGTAACTAGAAGTCCTAACACACATGAATACGTTTTCTGTGCCAGAGATTCAGACCATACTTCCAGCATTTTATATCAGGAACGTATAATCTTTAACTGCCTAACATGCAACGATCCAATGGAGTCCGACTAAGCACAAGTGACAAACACTTTTTGTACAAAACAGATTTCCTTTTTATTTCAGCTGGGGCTCTTAAGAAAGGTTAGGCTGTACTGAGTTATTAAAATCCTGCCTTTTTTCTTTATTCAGCTTTACACAGAGCTGCAAAGTAGGCTGTCAGAAAGAACACTGTACTGTCTTCTTACGAATACCTCACACAAACACCATATTACATAGCAGGAAGAATCTTTTCCCTGGGATGACATGGAATAGCTGAGGTGCCCTGGCAGTGTCGGGTGGCACAGTCCCTCCACACCTACTACTTTTTCATCTTGTTGTGTAGAGCCTTGTGTAACTCCAACCTGCCCTCTGCCCACATACAGGACATGGACAAGATGAGGACACAAAACTTACCCTAAAGGCAGAGTCCAGTCCAGAGTTGGACTCCGTGTGGCTCAGGGCTGAGCCCTGCCAGTGAACTCTCCAACATGCACTTGTGTGGCAGCTAGACAAATACCTCTTCTCTCCCTGCCCTCTAAGAAATGGACAGTCTGACCTCATAATAGCTGTTGTTTCTAAAACTTGAACCCAATTTATCTGCTACAGTAAAATAAGAAGAGAAACTAAGAGGATGGGGAGGAGAAGGAAACCCTCTTGTTTCAAGAATAACATGGGGATAAATTAGTCAGCTAGAACTCATCTCCTGCCTTTCTTTGTACATAAGGTAAACAGAATTCAGTTCACATCAAGTAGGTGGTCTGTGAGCACAAAGCATATTAAACCATGGATGTGAACAGGCAAGCAAACTGGAGAAGCAGATCAGGAGGGCTATGTCACCTCATTGCAGGCACGCTGCTAGCCTAGTAGGTATTACATAATATAGAATGAAACCCCCAAACTCTGCTTCACTGATGTGCCTTCCCATAGAAACCTAATCTTTGCAACACCAACATCTGCTTAGCAGAAGGACAAGTACACAAGTATGTATAAACGAGTATATACACAGAATATCAGATCAGATAGTCTATCTCAACTTGTAAAGAAGTAAACGTAAGTAGTTAAACAAGTACTATTTTTAGAGATGTTTGGAGAGCGAGGGCAGTACTCTTTGCTATCTAAATATCTAAGTCTCAAATTCCTTAAAGTAGGCATTGCTGCTTTTTTTTTTTTCCAGGAAAAATATCTCCTTATGCACTTCAGCTGTGCAGAGAAGAAAAGTAAAGAAGTTTGCATGTAGCTTTGAACAGATGTGTTTATAGACACAGAAGAAGAATAACATAACCTTAGAGCTCTGTAGCAATTTTTCTATTTGTAATGTTTCTGGATATTAAGTTTACAGTTCGTGCAGTTTATTGCAGTTCTGTGGGGTTAATTAAAATCCTTCTGCAAAATCAGATAAACAAGAGGGATGGGGGAGGGGAAGTGTGCATTTTATGTACTCTCTATTCATCTCAAATGAAGTCTGTCCCATGTATACAATCAAACATCTGTGAAAAGTCTGCACTTCAGCCAGGGCAATTGCTCTTTGCATTCCAGATTTGGTAGCTGGTTTTCTTCCATTTGTTGCGTACGTTGCATGCACACATATGTGGTTTGGGCATGCTTTTCACAAATGAAAGATAAAAGTAAGATAGTTTACATGATATTTTGTTAATACAAAAGCCAAAAAGCCTTCAGTTCTTACTATATAGATAATATCTTAGAAACTTTTGCTTCAAGATTCTATAGGAATTTAGAAGTAACTATTGCAAGTCATACGTAAAGTTATATATTAATATAAGGACTAGTATTTAAACCATATTTACTCTCCACATATGTGTAGAATCTTCTAACACATGATCCAAAAGCAATTAAATCAATTAAAGAATACCATGTGGATTTGAACCAGCTGGGTCAGAGCCTTACACTGTGAGCAAGAGGCAGCTTACATTTCACTTCTCAGCAATCCTCCTTTTTAAGGAAAGATGGTCCCATGGTTTTCTAACAGCTCATATTCCTCCTGTCTCTAATGAAGACCAGTTTGTTTGAACCTGCCTGCTTCTCTGCGCATCTGTTCAGTAGACAGATGCAAAGAGCTACAAGGAATTCTACCTGTTCTGGTCTTACTAGTTAAATTCAGGTTGTGCCCATGGATGGCAAGGGTTCCACATCTACACTCAGTGCACATCACTGCGCTGTGCTAAACAAGAACAGAGTAAAACATCTTCACTGGTGTGCAAGTCAGTTGTGCAGTTTAAAAAGTAGGTAGCGTGTGAAAGAATTATGGTAACATAAAAGCAGCTATTTTATAATGCATTTTGAATACTTCTACCTGGAATAAAATACTTTTTTTTTCTTCTTATCAACACAAGGAGATAGTTTTTCTTAAACATTTTTAAACGTTATTTTTGATAAAGTGTTCTGCAATAAGATGTGGCAATTCCCTTGATCCCACAGGAGACAACCACATTCTAAAATGACACCACAACTATTATGAGAATCTTCCCCTGTTAGCAATCTCTTTCCACAGTAGCACAAGTAACAGTTCAACTGTCCAGGATCTCAAATAATAAACAATAGTTTTGGTACTTACACAATTACCAAGTAAGTAGGCTGCAGCAAAATAGATTTTTTATGAGCTATTAAAATAGCTCCAAGTGACTTGGTTATTGCTTTCAATATTATTGTGAATTTTATTTCCACTATTTCTTGAGCAATCACTGCATCTTTTGGAACATTTTGCAGCTCAGAGCCAGAGACAACACTGGATCAACTCTCCAAATTCTCTACAGCACCAAGGCACACGATCACCTGTACCATATGTAGTATTTTTCCACAGCTCAACGTTCACCTATTAAAAAAAAAAAATGTAAAGTTACATTTATTTTTCTTCAACAAACACCCTTTGGAAGTTTAACATTTCCTACTAAAATTATGGATGCAATTTCAGCTTTTGAGAGCTACATCTTTCTCTATATTACACATACTGACTGCACAGCAAGTCAGAGCCCAAACACAGCTTGTCAATGCAAGTATCCAGAGCCAAATCATAACCTCCACTTCAAGGTGTGGAGCAGATGAAAGGATTAGAACATGTAGTATACTGTCAAGAAATCTGTCAGAGGGAGAGATAGATCTTCACTGTTAAGCAGAACTTCGCTCTGCTTCTCACGTTCCCAGAGCACTGCGCACTTGGGGATTCCAACGGCGAGGTGCAGTTGGCTGGGGTGGAAGTGTTGCTGGAGAACGCTGGCTCTGCACAGCCAACTTCCTTGACAGTCATAGAAACGGTCTGCAGGAGAAACCCAGAGTCAACCACAATGGTGCTTTTTTTTTCCTCCTCACACAAACTTACAGCTCCATGGTATGCGCAAGGAAGAACATGAAGCTGTTCAGTTAGGGCACTATATTTTGGATGGGACAATCCCATGCATACTTTGATACCTAGAGAATTTCCTGAGAGATTATGAAACAATTAATTGGCCAGAGATCCACTCCTGGGCCCATTCTGTGGGATGGCAAGCTTTTTTCCCCTCACCATGTCTGAATGGAGATGGATAGAAAAGCAGTTTTCTTCCCACTAAGGGAAGGTTGACAGCTTTTGAGATTACGAGTTTTCCAAATAAGAGTTCTGTGCGTGATGCATGTCTAATGTTGTTTTTGCTTGTTGGTTTGACATCTTTCTTGTTTTCTCACTTCTGTTCCACAATTTCCTACAGGAAGGAGTGAGATGGAAAAAGGTTGGAGAAGGAAGAGAGAATGAAAACAATTCTCCAATCTCATCCATTTTCAATTTTCCTTTTTTTCTGTTGCTTAACAGGAGAAAAGATGGAGATGTGCAAGTGTGAAAACTGCCTTTTCTTAACTGCTACAATAACCCAGATGTAACCTAGAATAATGTCAAGATTCAAACTGTAAAGTACAATCCATTAAAGTCACAAAATGCAAATAATGACAGAGTTTTTGGAATTCCAAGATTACTGTTAGTGCAAGGTTAAACCAAGCTCCAAAAGAACTATAGCAGCAGGAAAAAGAAAGCTTATCAAAAACATTAAATAACATGAAAAAATAAAGGGAACTTTTCAACTTTGCTGACATCAGATGGAAATATTTCGGTGAAGAGAATGGGGGAAAAAAATCAACACAACTAAGAAATCCTTCAGCTTTACAATCACAGTAGACTGATGCAGCAAGCACTGCAATGCCGTAAGGGATTAGAACTTCATGCAAGGAAAGAGTGATGAAATTACAATGTTCTGAAGTGAAACAGAAGAATTAAATGGAATTTGTGACAGAAATGTTTTTAGAAAATATTTTTTGGGGAAAAAAGTATTTTGGAATGCAATACATTGTCTTTTAGACTAATTTCAGAAACACTGACAACATTTGGTGCCTAAAACAAAATGAAAAATTACTTCTGTGGTCATGAGTGCAAACAAGAACTGGAAAATACAAGGTGAGGAAATAAGTGAAACCAGATGCAGGCAGTTTCATGGTAAGCAAAAGGACCTTCAGGTTCTTCTAATCAGATTAATTCTGATTTATACTGGTTTAGGCTTTGGCAGCAATATCAAATTACCTTAAGAATCTCAATTATAAGAAGTGCTAAAATCTCTACTGTTAAAAACTGAGAATATTGAACTTGAGTTGCTAAAAAGGTTTGAGACCTCCCTCAGAAAAAGCCCATCTCTTGCAAAATTAGTTGTCTGAAGGATTCATAAAATGCTTTCAAATTTGCTAAGATGAGGCTTTTTTTTTTTTTTTTTTTTTAACCTAGAGGTAAACAGTTCTATAGAGCTGCTGAGTGATCAAGACACAAAACCAAGGGCTATTGAATTAGGTGTTAGACTGCTGACTTTGCTTCCTGCCCTTATTCTGTAAGGCACAGAGAAATAAAATCCTTCTGGTAAAACTGTAGCTAATCTTTAAATAAACATTATATTTTTAAGTGATGTTGTATGATGATGTGGAAATCATTGGTATGATCTATGAAATACACGTAAGGACTTCCTGCACTGCTCACTTGATCTTTCTGTCAGAAACTACTGCACCTTGCTCAATTCTGCATCTTAGTATTCTTTGCACTGTTCAAAATTAGCTCAAGATTAATTAAATCCTTTATTTCAGCAGTGATTTGTCTGTTGAGACAATCTTTTTTAACTAGGAAGTATAGTAGGCTAGTACGTAAAAGGCGTTTGTCTTGGGTCTGTTCTGCATACATGCTGTTCAGTGGAGAGTATTGCCTAAATATTCAGAAAACAACTGTAGAAACAAACTCAACCGTTCTTCGTCAAGTTCCACAGGACATCCAGCCCATCTGCAGAGTGCAGGTATTTGAAGACCCTACCTGTTCCTGCTGCAGCTAGACAGGTCTTTGACAGGTCTTATTACTTCACCATGTTTTTAACACTCCCTTGGAAATATTTCCCTACAGAGAATCCAAAAGCATTTGAGATGCTCTCTTTTGCTTTGCTTTCTCTAGTAGCCTTGCCTGTGAGGCCATCAGAATCACTACGAAGGGTCTCTTAGCTCATAGGAAAACAGGAGAACTTCCCCATGCCATTCTAAAGAACAGTAATTACCTGTCATATTCACAGCAATCAGAAAACACATACAAACACAAAAACCACAGCATTTTAAACCTTTATGGCAACGCACAGGGTTGTGAGATGTTGACACAAACCATTCTCACACTTCTCTTCATGACAGTTGTCATCCTTAACAAGGTCAGCAATATTTATCAGAGTGTTTCTTTCTGTTAAAGAAGATAAAAGGACTGAAAGTGACTGGAGGTGGAGTGAGATGGAAGAAGACAAGTCCGTAGACTAAGCAAAATATGAAGGATTCTTATATCTCTGTAACAAAAAAGGCTTCAAATGCGTCTGTTCTATTGCAGACATTCACATTCACTTGTCTACACCATTTTGTTTGGCTGAAAACATACAGCAGTGTGTCATGGGAAAGAGGAGCACTTACAAAGCCCAGCTGTAGTGTAACAAGGTGAGTCATGATCCAGATACGTACTGCTGACAGTCACACACCTCTCTTCAGAAATACCAGAACACCGAGCAGCAGATGAGAACTGCAGTCCCGTAGGTGCTGAAGAGTAGAATAAACAGTAAGTCAGTCAGTAGTACATGGCAGAAGAAATCCGTACCAGTTCCTCTCCTACTTCGTTTCCCATGGACACATTTTCATCCAAGGTCTGATGCTACTTAGAAAGTTTCTGCCAGCTCATCTTGAGTAACAGCACTCAGCTTGAAATGGGGGAAAAAAAAGAATTTCCCTGATGTTGAAAGCTTTCCAGAATGCCAACATTAACTATTGCTGAAGCAGTGCCCATTTCTTACTGCTATGTCCCTTTGTACCTTTTTAAATATCTATTCTCTCATAAGGGTAAATGGTCAAAGAAAAATAAAACTACATCCATATTCCTGGGTACAAGCTCACACTATTCCTAATCTTGTCACTGCTGCAATCCCTTTAGCTTTGGAAAAAGGGATCCTGGACGTGCTTTATCACAAAAAGCTGATTAGATAAATCCGGGCTGTTTGGTTGTTTATATGGTAAATTGCTGAAACATTTCCATCTACTGTGGTACATTGCCAGTGCTGGCTCACAACATGAACGTGAACGCCAACTCTAGCTCACTCACTCTCCCTTCTCTGTATTTATTCAAAGCATTATTCCTCTACCTTCCTGTTCTCCCTGTGATTGTGGGTGCTTACTCTCACATGACCCAGAAGCACAAAAGCTATAATTCTTGCTATAAATCTTGCTCTTCTGTAGCATTATCTTTTTTTTTTTTTTTTTACATTCAGTGGGTTTGGCTTTTTTTTTTTTTTCCGTTCTGCTTTGCTGGTTTTTTATGTTGGTGGTGGTTGGTTGGTTGCCTTTTTTGGTTTATTCTTTTATGAATTTAAAAGGAAAAAATGCTTTGTCAGTAACTACATTTCAACAAGCTTGCATCCAACTCCAACACTGTTTTTGGTGCCAGTATGCTGCTTTAGCAGTCAATAATATGCTCATTCAGTTCCTAATCAAGGATGACAGAAAACATTTGCAATCAAAGGAGAAGCATGCCACGCCATGTAATAGGAGATATGGAGCTTGTTGTGCAGTCACACAGTTCTAATGAGACTTACAAAAGTATCGGCCAAGAATGAACACTACCCATTTTTCATGCACCAGGAGTTGTTATTAGAGTTACAACGTTCAAAGATAATGCTGACCAAAAATAGCATGGACTTCATGTTCAAGCCAGAAAGCCTTTCTCAAATCATATCATACAAAAAGAAAATCATTTCAAGATTATTTTATAACAGCCTACACCCTGAAACGTGACGTGATAAAATTGATATATGTTTTTTGCAACATTCTCAAAAAGTAATACGTTAGAGGAGCTTAAGCCACCAAGCTGCCTTCTTGGTACCACAATAAATTGTGCAGCATTGTGCCCCACTCAGGCTTACAATAAGTGTCACTGACAGAAAATTGTGGTAAAAAAAAGCCATTCCTCTGCCCACACGACTTGCTTAAATACTGCAAATATGTTTGTTTCAAAGAACAGCACTAACCTTTTAATTTTGCCTATGAAACTACCCCATGTTTTAGGCTGACTGACTCTTTTCCTCATCTTCAACAGATGTTAAATGCACATTCAAATTCATCTCCTTCCAGGAATTTGTCTAGATGTCATTAAACAAAGGAGACAATTTTGTCACAGCTGGACTTTGTAAGCATTAGCTGTGTACAGCAAAAAGAAATAATGATTCCAAGGCTTATATGCAGACATTCTGGAACCTAAGTGCAGGCTAAACTACTTTAACACTGTTCTTGCAATCTCACTGTATTTCTTACAGTTATCAAAATGGCTATAATTCTCTTAATCTCTTTAAATTTATGAGCGCTTTTCTCTCTCTAGTGTCTTCCCTTGCGTCTGTGTTTGTAAATCATCGCAGAATTCTACTTCAAAGATGGGTTGAGTGAACAACTCCAGAGATCACGGATCTGGTAATCACAGAATCACAGAAATAATAACTGCAGGGACTCCGGGAGCTTCCATTTCTCCTGCACCACAGCATGATCAGATCCAGGTGACAGGTGCCAATTACAACAGTAATTAAAATCCAAAGTGACAAAGACTTCACGCTCCCCTAGCTGTACATTATCCCTAATTAGGCATTAGCCAAAACTAAGCAGAATTTATCTTATTGCAATTCAAGCTCTTTATTTTGCTATCAAAATGGGAAAATATAATATTCATTTCTGTTTTGCAGTGATCTTCCAGGTATCTGAATGCATTAATGAAGGAGGGAGTTTTTGTTCCCTCTCAGAGAATTTAGCTTTTTGAGAAAGCACCGTCACTGCTTGACAGTGAATTTCCAAATGCATTCAGGACAGCTCTTTCTATACCTAGTATCGAGTAGTGACTGAATATGAATGACATACTTGATCACAACCACACCAGAATTTTAGGTGACACGATTCTTTCCATTCTATGACATCAAAAAATTAATAACTTCTATCGTGTTTTTATTTTGGCTTCCTCATTCTCCTTTTATGCAAGTCAGAACAGCACTGTGTGATAGCACTGCAGGGACTCTGGGAGCAGCTAGTACACATACGATCAGGAGAAGCTGCAAAGTCTTTTCATTTACTTTCTGTTCTTTCAGTATTGGCCAATAGAAGCAGGATAGAGCAATTGTGGTCACCAGAGAATCTTATGCCCAGAGTACCAAAAAAAAAAAAAAAACAAAAAAAAACCCCCAACATTTGTGAAGAGCATTAGTATCTAATTGCTTGGCATACTTTGCAATAGCAGTTTAACATACGTGAAGGAATGGTGACAAATACATACTCATGTATTTCTCACTTCTAATCTTGCTGCACTATGGTTTATGATGCATGCAATTCTAGGAATGTTAATGGCCTTCAAGCTTTCCAAGAACCTAAGCAGCAAGGAATCCTTGCCCTGACTGCAATTCAATGCATCAGATGACAGCTCTCTGACAATAACATGCCCTTACCATATCTGTGAGTGTACACCATGCAAGGAGTAAAATTGTTGTCAAACTCTTAGCATTGAGATAAGTTCAAGTAAGATATCATATTTTTCAAATCTCTAAAACATACCATCTTTAGCCTCCATTTCATTCTAGCATGAGAGAACAGATCACTTTTCTAAAAAAATCCTTACAAAAATTAAAAATCAATTGCACTCAAATGCTGGTACTTGGAAATTAATGCGAGTTCCTACACAGCAGACCCAACCTGCAATCTTTACTGATATGCTTTTAAAAACTGAGCATCTTGCTGCCCTAATACCTTGTGAGGCTTTAGTCCAATTTAGTAAAATAAATAATATCGGCCTGAAAACATAAAGCATAAATATTGTGTAGAGTTTAAGGAAATCCTGTTCCAAGAAAGACACTTTGTATTAGGATAAAAATTTCTGATATTAAGGTCTTTCAGTAAGAGCTTGCACAATGCTGAATGGACTGGTAAGTAAATAAATGTCTTTAAGGGTGTCCAATCCTCTGACTTGCTTGAGCCACATTGAGTGACAAGAGATTGCCTTGGACAGCATATAAAATACATAATATACTTAATGTATGTAGGTAATAAAACTTTTTTTTTATATATAATTTTTAATTAAAACAAAAGGAAGGCAGCAACAAAAACATAAATCTAGTGGGTTGGACACGCATACACTAAATACTAACACAAGGAAGAACTTATTTATTGTCAGAGTGACGGAGCACTGGAACAAGCTGTCCAGAGAGGCTGTGGAGACTCCTCTGCAGATATTCAAAATCCACCTGGACAATTTCCCTGTGCAACTTACTGTAGGGATCCTATTTAGCAGGGTGTTGGACTCAATGATCCCTAGAGACCTCTTCCAACTGCTATGAGTCTGCAACTCTGTAAATAAATGTTTGCCCTGTGTGCTAAATTCAGGGAAGTTTAAGTAGGTACAAAGATTTGCGTGCAACACTAATAGAAATACCATCCCCTGTGCTTTCAGATGGGATTTTGAAATACAGGAACCACCACGCTCAAAGCAGGCTGTGGTCCTTTCAGAGCCACTATGGTTCTTCTTCCCACTGCGCCCAGCAATAGTGCTTCAGAGAAAAGACCAAAAATTCAACAGTTCTTTTTGCCTCGCTGACTTCTGGCAATGACAAGTTTTACTGGTTTATTGTTTCACAACTCAGGCATCAAAAAAAAGAAGAAAACAACTGCAAAATGCTGCTTTCTAGACTATTTAAATGCTTTGTCTGTGTGTTACGGGAGAGGTAAATGGAAAAACAGATAGACTTCTTCAAAGCACACATCTCAAAGGCACCAGTCAGGACTCCTTGCATCTCTTCAATAGAAATAGGCCTGCTTTCTTCTCACACATCCTTCATTTTCAGAGTGACCTACATACAAAGTTTGTTTGCTCCTCTGATCACTGCTTCCCATTGAGCAGATAATTTTACTGAGTCATTAAAAAATACATTTGGTCTTTTCTTGAGCTTTATAGCCAAGTTACAGCTGACTGGATAACATTAGTCTTCCTACAGCATGTTGCTGAGCACCTGACAAGCATTCCATCTGTCACTATAGTGCCTGAGCCTGTGATTTCACGAAGTCTTCCAAACCTTTCTCTAATGCTACTGTTTTCACAAAGCATTTTTAAAACCTGTATCCCAAACGTCAACCCCCCATCCATTGATTTCTTCACAGTGCCCATAGAAATCAAGTTCACAATAGCCATCAATACTAGTCCTGAACATCTGTTACTCAATTCACTGTCAGCTGCCTTCATCCCATAACCATGTGGCATTTATGAAAAATAATATATACTGCTGAGGTTTGCAGTCAAAAATCCATCTCCACTCCTGACAAATTCAGAACTTAAAGGAAGTTCAAGCATAATTATTTTAACACCTGAGAAAAATAAATTTAGTTTCTGCAACAAGTGTAAGGGCAATCACTCCCTCTCAGCAGCTGCTTCACTGGTTCCCTGTTAGCCAGCAGGGCTATGAAGTGCTTTACAGATACATCTGCAATTGTCCTGCTTTACTCCTTTGATTTAAGGTGGTTTTCTTCAT